GCTTTCACCATACAAAATTTCGATTGTCAAAAACAGGTTTATTTGATTTGATAAATCGTACTCAAAACCCGTTGTTTAACAGTCGCTATTGTAACCATACAACCAATTAAGAAATCTAACTCTTAATAAAATATGAATTAATTAATCTATTCCAATCCATTATGTTTATATTTCAGTCAAAATACTTTTCGTAGCAACGGCTTACGGGCCGCGTCCTAAATGTAGGCGCTACGTGCTACGTCGTAGTACCGCGTAGTACGTCGTAGCGGCCACTGAGCTTAAACGTAACACATTTATTTCGGGTTTAATGATCCTTAAAATGTGTGTTTCAATTATGATCCTTATTTTTAAAGTGTTTTGCTTTATATTAAGATGAACGTTAAGTAATGCTATGTGTGAAATTAGTAGGTTGCATTGTTCAAACATAAGTAACGTAGGTAAGGAAATAAAAATACAATTAGGTCACAGTATAGCTAACATTGTATTATATTAAATTGTAGGCTTTCAACCTTGCTATATCATTCAAGCATTGGTTGGCTACTGAAATCAAATAACTTCGCTGAGTGTACATAAAAACCCAATCCAGTCCTTCGAGAAAATACAAATTTTTAAATTTTAATTTTTAGACCAGGATGTTCACACGCAGTTCTAGATTTGATTTTAGTAAACAACATTGACATTAATAAAAACAAAAAAAAAACACAAAACGGATCTTTAAAACCGCACATCAATTTATATAATTTATAACCTCACAATTGTAATTAGTATGCAAAATATAGACATAAATTCAAATTCGAATGACATTATAACATTAATCGAGAGTAATAAAATCAAATTAGTTTTTGGTTTATTTATGAAACCAAATTCCCGCCGTCAAGCTGGTAATACAGTAGCCATATTGTGTAGGGGTCTTCCCCTAGTCTCTAGTAATTAGATCAATTAAAATCAATCCAGTATGCATTTAGCTGCACGGTGGCTGGGCACCTGGCTGATGCGCAACATGTAGAGGGTTCGATTTCCGCTCAGAACAAATCTTTTTGTCATTTACAAATTGTTGTTCTGGGTCATGTGTAGATAAACTTGTAAGTTTGTAAACGCACCCACGACATAGGAGAAAGGCCTAGTGTGGGGGCTACATGTTAAACAAACATTAGATAAATACTACAGTGTAGGTCAAATAGACTAGCGTACTGACTAGTTATCTAGACTGGATCAAATCCAGCCCTCTATAACCGTCGAAGAACAATCCTAACGTTGTCAGTTTCCATTTTCCGGCTTCCCAAACAATTAGTAAAATTCATTAGCACTCTTTATAAATCATTCAATTAATCTGAAAAAATCATCAGCGCTTTTGCCAACGCGGTAATTGAACCGGCAAACTTGCGTAGTAATCAGTCACTATATGAATGACTACTGCTGAAAGCATGCATGCTATCATACTGCAGACTGCTACTGATAGTATGGTCTATCATTGACATTACAGTATTACATAATTATTACTCTGACTTATGAATAAATTGGTAAATCCAATGTATTAATCGCAAGTTATTAGGAAGCAAATCGTTATCAGTTTTAAAACAATTTTCCTGTTAATTATACATTTTATTTACGAAGTACATTGTTGTATTGTTATGCAACCTTGTTGCAATACGTATAACACGGTAAAATGAGGCTTAAGATACCCGCTTCTCATGCGCGAGAGTGCAGCTTCGAAACCTACCAACGACAAGTACCAATGTGACATTTTCCGAGTTATACATACTTTCTAAGATTATTTAGACACCACAAACGGTGAAGGAAAACATCGTGAGGAAACCTAAGCTTACAATGTCTAATTAAGTAATTATAAGTTTGAAATTGCTAACCTGCATTGAGCAAGCGTGGCGATTAATGCTCAAACCGTGTGAGAAGAGGCCTTTGATCAACAGGGACCACTTATAAAATTAAGACTTTGACTAACAATAAAAAACTGATGAAGGTAAATCCTCCGCTAACGCCGGTCACCCGTGACCCCCATGGCGTTTAACGTGTAAATGTTGTTGACATATAAAAAATGTGAATAACCAGCTTTTCAATTCGGACTCTTTTTGATATATAATGCAAAAAGTTTATTTACTGACAAGTTTGAGACGATTTTTTCGACTAGGTTTTAATTATGTATGTATATTAGAATAAATAATAGTCTCTATTACGTCCTGAAAAGTAAGTTTTACAACGATGTAATTAATTTTTATATTGGTTCAGTATTTTCGGAGCTTATTCAATGAAAACAAAGAATAAATCAATCCTTCCTTTTTATAATACTACGGACTATGTAGTTACTAGATTATTTATTTAATTTTATTTTTATTTTAGTATGGACAATCCTACCCATCTATCTTATGCTATACTTATTTATCTATAGTAATCGAACTAAATAAAACGCAATACATGGACCAGTCAGTTGGTATCTTACTACAAACACACCCACTTTGTAAGTCCAACAGGTGTGATGACATTGCAATACATTTAATCACAAGATGGTAAGCAGATGACAATGATTACATGATTTACATGTAAAGATAATGTCAGGTGGACACGGAACATCATAAACCTTGTTCTATAAAGAACGTGATGTACCATGCACAGGGCACGTCGACATGTACCTCTACAGATACTTGCAAATGAAGCTATCCTGAACTGATAAATTTATCAATACATTTCCAACTATGTCTATTTGTGATAAAGTTGATATTTGGATGAAGTATTTGTGTTTTTTGGGGAGTTTGATGTGCGGCCGTCTTTAACGGAGTGCGAGTGCCCGCACATGTAGATGATTGACATGACTGATAATGTATTAATGTTATCAGTAGCGGTTTTTATTGATTCATCACTATTCATTGGCTGTTACCTTCCTTATGAGCTTATGGCAGCTGCATGATTAGGTTCTTAATTCTAAAGATGAGGCTAAGTGGAAATATCTTGGCTATATTTTGGAATGAGCACCTAGCTTTACTGACGGATTGACTGACAGATCTTATTTATTTTGTATTAGTTGACGTTTCAAAAGTACCAAATTATGGTTTAATTGAAATAAATGCTTTGACTTTGACTATCTATGGTTCTGGCAAGAGAAAGAGGAAGACGTGATGTTTTATAACTGACTGCTATCTACTGCTTAACTTCACTTACTTATATTTATGTCTTTTTATGGAATAAGCCGGTAAACAACCAAACGGATCACCTGATGATAAGCAATCGGCGTCTCTCATAGACACCCGAAACACCAGAGGCGTAACAAGTGCATTACCAGCCTTTTGGGGATTAGGAATTTGAGGATTGTTTCACGTCGTTTTTCTATGTGGCTGTGGTATCACTGCGGTCGAGCCGGCCCAGTGCCGAAGTATGGCCCTCCCAAAGTTAAATAAATGTGGAACAATGTATATAACTCTTCCGTTACTGAGTGACTGACTAACAGACAACGCACAGCCGAAATTGTTCGTCCTAGAAATCTGAAACTTGACTTAATCGGACTCTTTCAATGAACGAAAGCAAGGCATGAATGAGATATGAATGTAATGTGATAATTGCATAACATTTGTGTGAACGGCGTGTGTCACGCGATTGGTAATTATATTGATATGTATGTGGTGATGAGGTTAGAGATCAGCTCTTCAATCACGAGGTTCTACATCATGTGATAGTTTAACTTACCACTGACCGGCAGTGGATGATGTTTCTTTATTAGGGACTATCAGGGCCTAGACTACGCTGGGGACCTTTTGAGATATTTCTTTCTTTTGTAAAGTTGTTCCACCCTAGGACTTTCTCCTAAATCGTGGGTGCATATACAGATATACAATTTCACATACACATGACACCCAGACCAGAAACAACAATTTGTGGATCACACAAAGTTTTGCTCCGTGCGGGAATCGTACCCGCTACACGTTGCGGGGCAGCCGATTGTCGCGCAACATTTAGCGGGTGTATGTCCGCCTTAGAAATTGTCAGTCCTTCGGTACCCCTTGGGGCCTTATAGTAAAGAGATTCTGGGGAGTACCAATTTGTACTGTAAACTTAAACTTTCTATTTATAATAGAAAGTTTAAGTTTACAGTACAAATTGGTACCAATTGCCAAGACAGCATTCAAATGTTACTTATTATCGACCTCTTGTCCAATCATTTGTTTTTACAGGAACTTTCTAACTAAAAACGCAATACAGACTACTCGAAGATCTTATTTCAAGTGTCATAGTTAACAGTCGAATTGATGAAAAAAATAGAAATATTTTAGACTATTTTCGACCTTGTTGGAGTTACAATGTGACACTACTTTTTTGAGGAGACAAATCATGCAATTACTTCTCCAGCCTTGGGTGAGGCGAGAAAGAGTGTCAGACTCTTACTGACCAAATACCACAACATTCCTACTGCTGCTTCTAACCGAAGCCCCGATAAACCGCCAGGTCATCCTTAGCTGAAGGTGACATTGCTGGATTCTATATATATATCTTAAGCCATGTAACTGTTCATGCAGCAGCCACGCCCCTGACCGCGCTCCAGTGCTGCTGCACCTGCTAATCTTTATTGATGTAACTGATAATATTATGATATATTCATGTCATAAAACTATACAACATATAATATGATATGTATTTTCAACATGTACGTTCCAACTTGTGGTATTAGTAATTTTGATATTGAATTCAAGTATTGCCTATTCGATTTGAATTGAACCTTTATACCCCCAGCCTATTGCATCGAAATTATGACTAACTGAACACTCTTTTGTAGAGTTCACCTTTAATAGTCAAGCAGTGGAATTATCATGTCAGGGGATTATTTCACTTCATGGATTTTGTTAAATTTGAACAAACATTTGAACAAACATTTGAACAAATGAAAAATGACTAACTTTGTAAATGAAGTTTCTAGGTATATGTTAAAAAGTACAGACTTTTGTTATGCTATACTTGCTTGGATTGTTGGAATGAAAAATTAAAAACATAAGATTATCTTTTATCCAAAAAATTGATTTATTATTATAAATTACTTATTTGCTATAAATACAAAAATCTTAGTACTAATCATGTCCGTCGCTTAGCTTTTAAAGCTCGAGTACCTCCTTTCATTCATAATACAAATAAATAAACAAAATAAATAAGAAACCTATGAGATTCTATGCCTTTGGCACAATCGAAGACTAGGTCCTAATTACAAGAGGTGCCTGAAATTCATTAATTATTCCTAAATAATAAATTATTATTTTACAATACGAGATAAAGTAATAGGAGAGAGCAGATACTAGATAATACAAATGTTTAAACAAATAAATTCGTGACTAGACCGCAAATACTTTAGAAACTAATTAACTTACTCCTTAAGTACTCAACTAATCTAATAATTAACTATCAGATATGGAATAACTATTATCACAATTTAGGAATTGCGCAATACCGTGTTGCGCGCGCCGCCTCTCTACGTACAATACTGAACTGTGATGTCGCTCCAATTATTGCAGAAATGCTCATTAACATTAACGTTACAATAAATTAAACTTACTTACTAATTAACTCACTAGCCTCGTAAGTTACTAGAGTTTCTTACACTAACGTGCGAGGTTCGATTCCAAGGGCGGGCAAAAGTGTCGCTTGAGATGTTAACGGCTACGAAAGCTCTGTTTTGTGCTGGTTAGTAATGACTGACACACCCGTACCCGCCCACTCGGACACTTTTAAAGAATATTACGTCTAATAATAAATAATTAACTACCTACAGATAATACGTATTTGAGTTACAATATTAAGTACATTAGACAGCAAACCAAAAAGTCATGGAATAAAATTAGCAATGTCTACTCACAGCACCTTTTGGCCCCATTTTGTCTTAGAAGCTAAACAAATAAATAACTTACAAGCTATAATACTGGTAAATTCTGAACAATTAAGTCTACAAGACACTTGACTCAGTCGCGTTTTACGTTTACAGTAGTGCACGAGAGCACAGTCCCACCTCGTGACCGATCACTGTCGTGGCTAAATTTGTAGTGAGTCACGACGACACTCGCGCGTCACTGTCCCGTGCCCCCGCACTAGTTCACACTAAGGTCTCTAAGGTTCACAACACTAGTCCCTCTCAGGTATCACTTGGTTGCCGGAGCGCCTTGCGCTCTGTCTCTAAGTGCGCATTGCTCGCATTAGGCCCTCCTTCGCTGCTCGCATGCGCATTTAGACCGATTCCACCTCATATTCTGGTTCCGCTGTAACAAAACAAAACAAACATTGCTAACCTCGATCGGTATAACCAACTAGTTTGTCACTATGATTTTAAAATTAAAATGATTGCTGCAAAGTTTGATATCTTGAAATCTTAACACTGAATATTTGTTTCTGATAAAATAAAGGTACAAAAGTGATAGTGACAAAGCAGATGTAAGAAAATTAAATTCTAGTGCACAACAAAAGCCAAAGATCGAAAGACAATGGATGTCGGTAAAAAACGCGTCGACACGAAGCGGGCGTCAGACATTTGCCGAGTATGTGGTTGTTGTACTTGCACATAGGCCAGTGTTGACTTGACCTCAATGTACATGCAAACACACCTAGACACTCAGATAACAGAGGTGGAGTGAAGGATAAACAACATCGAGAGAGAAATAAAAGAAGCGAGTGTTAACAGAGCGGGAGAGGAAAGTGCTGACGCTGTTGGGGCGAGGCATGCGCGTGCCCACACGGTACGTTAGTGCTGACAGACATCCATTATCTTACGAACCTTTTTCAGGCAACTGCGGCGTTCCTCCATGTTGGGACATTGACAGGAGCACTTACGAGGATTGTACACCCTCGGCGCCGCGCACTCCTCGGGCGACAGCGAGCAGCAGCCGCACGACACGTGCTCCACGATGGGGTACGTGGCGCACGTCTCCCGGTTGGTCTTTGCGTTGTATATTCGTATCTGCAACAATAGAACATTCGTTAACATCAAAGTTCAACCACCCGATTGACTTTTGCTCGTCTGGAAATATCTGTTGGAGTTTAGCTGAGTCATGGAAGCGGCTCTCGACAGTTATGTCATTACTATCTGTAAGGACGGTGCGTGTTGCGCAACTCCGCGTACTCTTGTACTAATATAGTAAGCGGGTCAAGGATGCATCAGAATTAGCAGTGAGTAGATAAGGAGATAGCACGTGTACTTACGGGAATATGTCGGATGACGGTCTCGGTGGCGACGCAGGTGCCTTCGTTCTCGTACTCGCAGAGGCCGACACAGCGCTTGACCCACACCGCGCGGGGACTGATCTGGGGAAACACACTCACGTCAGCCTCACAATACAATGTTCTCACGCGACTCTAATCACCGCACACCGCACCACTGGCGGAACTACACCTACATTATAATAATATCTCGTATTTGACGATGACTAATTTGATTGTTAATCAGTTAAATAATGAGTCCCGGCAGAGATTACCTTTGATTTATAACAATTATTATGACGAAATTCTAGACCTCGCTGCGTCGACAACATAACAAGACATGTCATAATATCTGCGCAAACATTTGTCCAAAACATATGATGGAAGGATTCGCGTTTTTCTACTCAAGTCATTGGCATTTAATTATCGAATGTAGATAGCGACGCGTATGGGGTAATAAGGTCAGCAGATAATGTCCAACAAGAGTTACTTAATTGTGTCATTATTTAACAGTTGTGCATCTTAAGTCATTTCTTAATTAGAATAATTACTAGAATGGTGCGTTTGACATAATGTATAATTATGTGAAGTGTGTGGTATTTACCTGTTCATGTGCAGCCTTCACCTTCAAGTACTCGAAGACCTCCTTGGGGTCTCCACACTTGGACTGTTCAATGATGTTGCCGCGCTCGCGCTCATTAGCACCCGAGCACGCGACTACGGACAAAACCAACAAAAATATTAAAATATTGTCAAAAATAATAGAATATTTTTAAAATAATTTTAAAATTAATTTAAATATAAATGATATTAGCCTAAAATATTTTCGATGCTCAAGAGTTGTTACTGTCGCAGTCGAATAGAATAGTTGAAAAAGAAATCAAAACAAACATTCACCTTTCTTAGGCATGGGTATGATATAATCCTCAGTACTCCTGGGGAACTTGGGGTGGTGCTTGTGTCCAGCCACCACCACGAACAACACTAAACACACAATAATTTTCGCCATTTCTTTAATGTTTATAATTTCACCTTTCACTTTAATTTATTATCACTTTACAATTTGATCACTATTTGTGAGCACTGTTATCAGTAGAGATAATCACGTGTTGTATGCACTGTCACTACGTGTTACTCGGTCGCCGGTCTGTTGGATTGTGGTGGAAGCCGGCGCGGTATGCTGTTATAAGGCTGAGCCTGACTCAACACGTGGGACCGCGCGGTGGGCACGGCACACGAGCCGTTGCGTCACCGCGCCGACGTTGCACTGTTTGCACAGCTGATCCTACGTCACCACGCTGACAACCACAAAATTAACAAGCACTTGCTTCTGTTCCGGAATCTTAAGAATTTGGGACGGATCTCTACACATGTTGCTACACTTGTTTGAGAAAAAAATGGTGTTCGAGAGAGTGGACCGAAATACATCATTATTGAACGAAATTTCATCATAACGGTTTATCTTTTAATCCTTTCTATTATAATCATGGTTATTATAAATTGGAAAAGTAAGTTTCCCAATTATATTGTCTAGATTGTAACACAGTGTGCGTTGGAAACTCCTAAGGTAACTAGTTGGCGACACCGGTAATTTAGTGACGTCACGTGCAGTTTCCGCCGGCGCAGACGTCGGTAGCAGGTTTAACTAGTGCTAGGAACAATCATCAATCAGTTAAGGGTCAATGTCAACCATGTGCCAGCGTCATTCAAAAAATACCGAAGCGAATGTGAAAGTAGAGAAGAAAGTAGGTTCGATTATAAAACATGATGCAATACCGTAAGTTGGTTTTTGAACATGGGACAAACAGATTAGGAGAGCCTAGAACATGCCATGACATATGTGGAGTGTAATAGTGTAAATAATGTAATAAGTGCAAATGTTGCGTGTGATGTTTGCACGGGTGCGCACGCGGCGCGGCGCCTACACTCCCGTCGCCGGCACCGGTCGTAGGCTAACCTACATTCCGCATATTGATTCAAGTTCACTAGTAGGTGCTACTGAAGCAACTGATTGTCAATCACCTAGCACAGACAACACTGACCTCTCATACTTACAATACTACGCAATATATTGTAATTCCTTAAGGCACTGCTCCGACACTACACATTCCCAATTACCTAAGTTGCTTAAAATAATATTGATCCTTGATCGGTTTGATACGAAAAAAATGTGGGGAATTCCAAGTCGGCAACGTTGAAATGAATTCAATAATCATTTATTTGTATTCGATTAATTCACGTTATTGTTATTTATTAAGATATAATCTGTGATCTAATTTGTAATCTTTACGTGCGCACGCGTTCCACGTAAACCGGCGCCGGCGCCCGATAACTTATCGCCGCAATTTTCGGTTCTCTATCCTCAGTCAAAGTTCCTCCAGTGCTAATCTTTTAACCTTCAGACTTATGTCTTGCTTATACCCTTCAGAATCATCAATATCGGCGTCAGTCAGTAACTGTCTCGGTGCAGGTTTACAATACAATCTTCAGATTACTGCAATTAATTCCCCAACCACTGCAGCTCCGGTAAGCTATCTGCAGTAGGGACTAGAATCTCATCATAATTTAAATCTGGCTGTAAACTTACACAGAATTAGTTTTAGTGATGAATATGGTATTTGATATCGCTATATCGTATGGGAAAATACTTTTTACTTCCGACATTACCCCGAGTTACGTTATGGTCATTTACCTGCTGCCGGGTCAGAACACGTCAAGTCACTATGTGCTTCCCCTGCAACTTGTATTGCATACATATATCAATTAAATGCTCATATTTATACACCAACTAAGGCATACCACGGAAGGAAATATCTAAAGTCTAACAGTTATGTCACTTCCTTACCTGCGTTTGTATTGTTTTATTATAGTTTAGACGCGCATTGAGAAATATTTCTATTACAAGTAAACTCAATATAAATCCCACTGTTTTCCTTAACCAAGATTAACGAGCTTTAATGAACTTCCAACTAACAATAATTACTGGAAATAAATTATGAAATCAAATAGGTAAAGCTGTTTAGTGTGAAATTTTCCAAGAAAGCGAGTGTATGTGAGTACACGTCATAGTTTAAATGTAGCGTGACGTCACACCTCACCGTGACTGGCCGGAATGTGAACCCCACCCCCGTCGGCTCAACTTTCAGCAGTTGTGGTGCAATTCAAGAGTGACTTGTATAATTGCCTTCTAGACTTTTCTAACGCTTCTAAAGAATGTAAGAAAGTCGCGAGTACCATCTTTTCCATCAACCTACAAACGTCTGTCTCATTACGTAACTCTGTAGGCACACGTGTCGACCGTGACACAAATCCAAAGCTTTCATCGAAAACTTTCATATAAAACTAAACGAAATGCATTTATTTAGAGATGATCAAATATTCTATTTCGTAAGAATTTATAATAGTATCAATGATTACGAAATATTTGAACCAGTTCATAGCGGATTGATGATGACGGTGACTTGCAAAAAAATTTAGAAAAGTTTTTCGGAGTAACTGTCTGTTCTCTTGCCAATGGTTAAACGGACTTTGACCTTTTTTCTTTTATTTTTCCTTAACAATTGTTCTAACTCATTAGGTAAAACTTGTTGACAAGTCTTGTCATCCTGCCAGCTTGTCAATCTTTGGAAGTCTGGTCAGTATTATTGCAACAATGCCAGCCTTCTGTCCAATTGGTAACCTTGACTTCTATGAATGGTTTTCCCACTATGTAACGAGCTCTTACTTTTTAAAATTAGGCCAGTAAATCTTCAGTTGGAACCAATACGAAATTATAAAAAAAAATCTAAATTGGCAGTGTCATCTTTATTGTAGAAGAAAAAATTTCTAGTCTTTTAAGCCAACCTTAAATGTAAAACTGGTATCAAAATCCTTAAAACATATAAAAAGCTATGACTTAATAATGAAACGGTAATAAATTCGTCATAAGCTATTATATTTAATGATAACGTACATTTACAACCGGTTAGCTTACAAGAAAAAATAGCACAAGTATGCGCGAATTATTATTATTAATTAGATAATAGCTTTACAATCTAATTACATAATTAATTAATGTGACATCATTAGTTTTAAACATATTTTATATTCATTACAAAAAATAATAATGCAACTTGTAAATTTCTAGAAAACAAAAAGATTAAATACGCGCCGCGCACGCGTCCACCGATAAGGAATCTGCATCGATATCTTTGGTTTTATCTCGTAACCTGTAGAGGAACTTTCATTCAATTTGTGATTCATACATACGTGGTTTATGTAATTTTCTCCGTTCTATATGAAGTAATGATTATGTTTAGTGACTCAGTCATTTAATATTCTGTTATAATACAACAATATTTTACTAATATTCGTGGCGTGTGCTGCCCCCTAGGGTGACCGATTACGTCACGTAATTACACGCCATTTTGTGGCCAATTTGTGGTTTCCTTCTAACTACTGTTTGCATTGATTATAGGTTTAATTTTATGTCTTTTTAGATTTTTGGGTTAATCTGTAATTACTTTATTTTCTGGTTTTGAATTATTGACTGATGATTGTCATGTATTGATCTGTTAATGTCTCCATATGCAGATAAGCATATGATTTAGTTGCTAACCGTTAAATAGTATTATGTTGGTACCTATAAAGAAATCAATGAACGACAACCACGTCGGTGCCTACTTGCTAGATATCAATACAGGTGTGAATTACACCTGTGTATTATTATAATTAAGTGAATAAATCGTATAAATAGAAAAGATGTAACTTTTCACAGCTTTTAGGTAAACCCGCTGACGCTTGTTGCTTGCCGAGTGTCGAACCTTGACACACGAAAACTGCCTACTCACGTGTTATGACGTAGCAACGGCGAAACCATAGCGGTATTCATTGCACCACCATGAATGAATCCAACCAGTCATGTTTATTGGGAAAACATTTTAATTTTTTTACGACAAGAAAACTTGGAATATAGGCTAATTGATGTTTTTCACGAAACTTATTATGTTTGTGGGGAAACATGGTGTTTGAGGGCTGTGATTACTTCCATAGTTATATTAATGCTAATTACTGAGTTCCCGGAGCGGCCTCATTGTACCAGTACTCGGTAGCGAGGTAGTGACCGAAATCTTGAGCCTGTATTTGACATGTAAGAAGGTCAGTAGAATAAAGAAAATTTTACATATGAGCTGCGTGAATAACTTATAATAGTTAACTGGCTACAGAGCCCGTACCCGTGATATGTTTCTTAAACAAACTTTGAAAACAAGTTTTAATATTGTTCTTAAGAATACTTCAGTTCAAGTAAAGGTATTGCAGAAACCGTTCGAGACCTGTGTCAACTTTATAAGATGGGCCCCTATTCCCGATAAAAAACAGAGAAATTCAGATCTCAGAGAACCTATGAACGGGGCCCCTTCCAGCTGGGAGCCCAGGGGCTTTTTCGACTTGCCACCGTGTAGTTACGCCACTGGTTAGGTGCAGCCGAGTTCTGCATAAAAAAGTCAATAGCTGTCTATTCTCCTATTTATTTATACTCCTCAAATGAAATTGTTCCGTGACAACAATCCGAAACCAAATGTATGTAATATTCCTTTTTAAAAGGCTGGCAACGCACCTGTGACTCCTCTGGTGTTGTGGGTGTCCATGGGCGGCGCTGATTGCTTACCATCAGGTGATGTTGGTGGTGGTGATGATAAAAAAAGTATTTCGCGTCAGAACTTTTACATCTTATGAAACCAAAATAAGAGAAGATTTGGATATAAACAACAAAAAGTTTAACGATAAATTAATATACCTACCATGAAAAATAGACATATGTATCATATGTCTATTATCAAGTTGTAGCTTGGAGACAGTATAATGTTTATTATTGTATATTATGTATTTTTATTACGTAAACGTGTTTGTTTTTATTATCAAAATGGATCACATCACACCACCCGTCGGAAGACAGAACGGCAACATCGGCTTTAGTCAAAATATTCGATTAATTGAAGAGATTGTGTCATTATATTTACGTGGCCGCAGGTGGCAATGATTAATTTGGCATTAATGCTTGATATTATAGGTACATATGCTTTCTATTTACCCAATACATAAGTACTGATTTCTTGTTGTATTTTATTTATGAAGAATCCACAATAAAACTTATTTTTTTATCAGTCAAAGACTAGCTGTTTTCTCCGCTTCA